ATTTTATAAAAAAAAAACGGATTTTCAAAATACCCAAACTCCAGCGGGTCTACTTTTAGCAAACGAATTTTTCATCATATATGTAGCTCACGTTGCGAATTTGAACAAAATCGGTTAATAAATACGACTTTTATGAGTAACTTTATTACAGCGCAGGGATAAAAAAGTAGGTACAATTGTACCTTTTTACGCCGTTTGATGACAGTAGTATAAATATAGCGGTTCCAGAACCGCTATATGGTTTGCTGCTCCGCCGGTTTCAGAACCGCAATAAGGTTTGCTGGTGCTCTGCCGCAAGCTTTGCTGCTCCGCCAAAAGATGTCGCCGATCGAAATCCAAGTTAAGAACCCAGATAAAAGCCGCAAGATGTCGCTGATGACAAGTCCCAGTCCAGAACCGGAACTGATCACAGGGTGTACCGCTGATGGAAATCCGACAAATCCGATACAAGGTGGTTTATATGTCGAAAATTGGTAAAGTGTATTGGTATACATAAGGCATTCGCACATTTATTTAAACCAAACGCAAATCAATTTAACCCAAACGCAAATCAATTTAACCCAAACGCGAATTAAATTGAGCCAAACGCAAATTAATATAACCCAAACGCAAATTAATTTAACCCAAACGCACATTAATTTCACCGAAACGCAAATTAAATTAAACCAAAGGCAAATTTTATTAATCCACATAGAAATTAGACGCAACACAGCAAAAAGGTAACTATTACTATTATATGGTGTTTACATGAGGCGAATTTAGAGGTGATTAGTGTAATCAAAAGTTTGCTGCCACCCAAATTCATTAGAAGCCAAGAATGATAGAATACAAGATTGCGCCAATCGAGCTGAGAGCAACTGGCTGTGGCGTCAAAAATTACCAGAATGAGAGAGCAAGACGAACTCGACAAGAAAGCGAGGAAGCATCGATCAAAAGGCAGTGTTGCGAAGTTTTGACTTTGAAAAAGCACCAAATTTTTATTGATGGATTTTATGGACTTTATATGAATACATAATTTTATTATAAGGATGCCGATTCAAAAATCAATGTTTCTTGCACAACGGTCGATTTCTTCTGGCATATTTCTTTGTCACTTAGGATTGTTACTGTGCCATGATTTTGTTAAAATTTTTGTAAAATTGCTTACCACACTTACGATTGCTATAAATTTTGCCTCAATTTTTTTAAGATTTTCTAATTTGGTGTCTTCTACCAAAAACGCACCAAGCACAAAACTCAAAAATTTTCGCGTTTTGAATACCCACTAAATTTGGTGCGAAAAGTATCAAGTTGGGAACAGTGAATGTATACAAAAGTATTTTATGACGTCAGCGATTGGGTGGATGCTGCCAAATCGACGCAGAGAGTGTTAGCGGTCCGCGAATGGCGCGACCTTTATTTTCTGGATCGTGATTAGAAGCGATTAGTGAAAAGGCTGTTCACACCAAACGATTATTGCTTCCACCTAAAAGTTGCCTATGGAATCTTTGCATTCGAGAAACAATGCAGAATAGCCACTCGCGATGTTGATCCGTTGCTGTCTCGCCAACGACGTGTGAAGTGAGCATAAACAATTGTTCTATGGCGTGCCCACCATTGCTATAGATTCAAACTACAACTACTAATCTATAGTAGCAACGATAGTTTTTGTTTTAAATTAATTTGCGTTTGGTTTAATTTAATTTGCGTTTGGGTGAAATTAATTTGCGTTTGGGTGAAATTCATTTGCGTTTGGGTTAAATTTATTTGCGTTTGGGTTAAATTAATTTGCGTTTGGTTTAATTTAATTTGCGTTTGGGTTAAATTGATTTGCGTTTGGTTTAAATAAATGTGCGAATGCTATATATACATACGTATCCTCATACATACATCCATATGCAAACGTACATACGTACATATGTATATACATATATAGATGCTCCACCCTTAGAAAAGTGTGATAATAATGTTCACATAGTTAATTGCTAAGTATTTAATATGTATGTGTATATGAATGGACAGTCCTGTTGATGTTGATGATCAGAACAAATAAAATTTAATCTATATATTTATAAATGAATTGCTGTTCGTTAGTCTCGCTAAAACTCGAGAACGGCTGGACCGATTTGACTAATTTTGGTCTTGAATTATTTGTGGAAGTCCAGGGAAGGTTTAGAAGATGAGTAAATATGATAAAAATGCTAAGAATTTAATAAAAACAACAACTTTGTTTTTCATTAGAAATAGGGATGGTCGATTATCATTGTACACGGAAAACTCTATAAAATTGTGAAATCGTGACGTCTTAGCTTTCTTAATTTTTTGGCAATAACAACAAAAAGTTTTGATTTTTTTTATCGAAAAACCTTCCACATAGGAGGTCCAAAATAGTACTTTTAGAGTACTGGAACTTGGTTTGGAGATATATGAAATCAATCACATACTCATGGAGAAAAATGGGCTCTTTAAAAAGAGGGAATGGCAAAATACAAACGTACTGCCTTTGCCTTATCTTTGAATGTGTACATAGGTATGTTTGTGAGTGAAATCCTGAATGGCTGGAGGGATTTCAACAAAGTTATGTGTGTGTGTTTGAGTGGGTCTCTGGATAGTTTAGTTTGACAATTGAACACGCCAGTTGGCGCTGGAGTTGAGTTATTACTAAAAATCTTTTTTTATGATCCGATTTTTCCAATATTCAAAACATGTACTGGACACGGTTGAGACAGTCCAATTGCAAAAAAGAGCTGTGAGGTGATGCTGAGGTCGAGTTATTACTAAAATCGATAAGTGAGAAAAGGTGCGGAGAATGTCAGTCTAAATCGACTTGTTGCACCATTGAGTACATCGAACTCTCGTGTGTTACGCTTGGCCCAATGGATGTGATTTGCCAATATTATTATGCGTTACAGCTTCATTCCGACACACCAGCGTTAAATTGTGCAGTGGCAAATCTCAAATCACCACCTGTCGAAATATATTTTTATACCCGAGCGCACTTGTGCACAAGGGTATATTAATTTTGTTCACATAACGGTTGTTTGTAACAGCCAAAACGAATCGAGATAGATATAGACAAATGTATACATAAATGATCAGGATGAAAAAAGAAATCGATTAAGCCATGTCTGTCTGTCCGTCCGTCTGTCCGTCTGTCCGTCTGTCCGTGTACACGATAACTCGAGCAAAAATTGAGATATCTCAACGAAATTTGGTATGTAGGTTTCCCTTAATCCAAGGTAGGTTGGTATTGAAAATGGGCGAAATCGGACTTTAACCACGCCCACTTCCCATATAACGGTAATTTCCAGAAATACGAAAACTGCGATATTTTAGTAACTACTGAAGATAATTCACTCAAAATTGATATTTACAATAATTTTTAAACGAAAAATAAGAATATTATAAATTTTTGGAAAATGGGCGTAGCCACGCCCACTTATGGTTACATGTGTATATCTTGGTAACCGCTACACCAATTTCTTCCAAACTTGGCACAGTTGTTGGCGTTCGCATAACATACCAAATGGCCGAAAATTTTTAAAATCGCTCAATAACCACGCCTACTTCCCATATAACGGTAATTTTCAGAAATACGAAAACTGCGATATTTTAGTAACTACTGGAGATTATTCACTCAAAATTGATATTTATAATAAGTTTTAGACGAAAAATAAGAATATTATAAATTTTTGGAAAATGGGCGTAGCCACGCCCACTTATGGTTACATGTGTATATCTTGGTAACCGCTGTACCAATTTCTTCCAAACTTGGCACAGTTGTTGGCCTTGGTACAGCATAAAAAACCGCCGAAACTTTTTAAAATCGGACAATAACCACGCCCACATCCCATATAACGGTAATTTAGAGAAATACAAAATCTTCGATAAATCATTAAATATTGGAGCTAATTTATTCAAAATTGATGCTTGCAACAATTCTTTACCAAGAAATATGTTTATGGTAAAATTTTGGAAAATGGGGGTGGCACCCCCCACTTATGCTCACATATAAGTATATCGGTAACCGTTCTACCAATTTGTACCAAACTCGGTATGGTTATTGTACTTGCCACGTGTAAGCAAAACATTGAAAATTATTGAAATCGGACTAAAATAACGGCCGATTCTCATACAACGGTAAATTTAAGAAATGCTTGAAACTTCAATATTTCGAAATTGAAGGACGCTAATTTACTCAAAATTGCTGCACCCCGGCTTACCATCTAGCGGAAGGTTTCGGACGGGTGGGTGAAAAAAACATATGTGTATATGTATTCTACGGAAAAGGGGCTTAGGTGTCAAAAAATCAATTTTCACTTTTTGGTTGATTCGGATGGAAGATGAGATGCTTTTTCACGTGGTGAAAAGCAGAAAATCCTAATTTGCTTTGAAGTGTACTAAAAATGTAGAGAAAGAAGAGTAAAAATACGACAAAATATAATTTATTGGTAATGAACAAAATACATTGAATTATAAGCTATAAAGACATGATTATACACTAGAAAAACGTATTATGGGCCAAAAATAATAATGCTGAGTAGTTTATGTATTTTTCTTTGTTGTCGTTTTCCTTGAGATCTTTTTACGTGTTGATCCTGAGGAAGATGGACCTGGTTCCTCGTCTGGTTTGAGAACATCTTCACTAGTTTTTGCCTTCCGTTTCTTCGATGGCAAATCTTTCGGCAATGGAGCCACAATATCTACTTTAGATATATCCGAAACTAAGCTGCGAAGATTGTGATAGATGTACCACTGACGTTCCAAAGATAAACCGGCTGGTTGTATAACTTTCGGCATTTCAGGATCGATAGGTTTTAACAGAAGCTTAAAGGACTGCACTTCTTCACTGTCTGCGAATTTCTTTGTTTTTACACAAGTGACTTGTACAGTGGTTTAAAATAGCTGTCCCATTCATACCAGACGACTTTTTCAGCCGATACAGCTTTATTATAACCCCCAGGTGATGATGCCTCGACACACTGCAGTAAATCTGCATACGTGTCGATGTTACTGGCGGCATACTTACTTTTGAAAATACCGAAGTAACGATCAGGCGCGAACTTAGTGTGCCCGGTAAGTAGAAAATTGAATAAAATAGTTTTGTTAAGACCCCGAGCCAAACACCATTGCAGATATGATAGTACAGTGTTATTCTTATTCTGCCCAACACAATTGTCACAGAAAAGAACGAGTGTTTCAATGTCTTTATAGTAGGTTTGCAGGTGATAATGCAGGATGCTCACAACACAGTTAGGTCCTTTACCAACGTCATCTTTTTCGTCTATCATGTAATTGTTCTGTAAAAAAAAAAATATAAGTAAGATCCAGTAAAGGCGAGCAATTTGAGTTCCTGTGATTCAGTTTGAAATTCTAACCTGAACTTTTTGTTTTTCGTCTGTAATTCCGAAGACTCCGCACTTCTTGGTTGCTTTGAAGTATGCTGTACCAGGTTGTTGTGGACTGACAGGGTAGTGAACGGTTTGGGCAAAATCAAATGACAGAACGATTACTGTAGGGTCAGTATTTCTACACCAACTTTGATAATATTCTCGTTGATTTCGGGCTCGGTGGAGGTGATCAAGAAATTGATTAAGCTTCTGTGCGCGTTCAATGTCAGTAACACCTTTGGCTTGCGCAATCGATATTGTGTTTCCTATTAAAAGAAAAAATACTGAATTTAATCTCAACGTTTGATACAACTATAAAATGAGAAAATAATGAGCTACTTACCACGGCAGACATCGCAGAGATCATCCGCTGGTTTCATAACTGTAACATGGGGTATGTATTTGGACCATATCCGTCGAAAACTGCAATTACTCATCTTCAATTTGTCATCACTGAGTGAAGAAATGTATTTTCGATAAATTGAGGACTTCGTCTCGCTGGATGGCAGTTTCATTATCCGAAAATCCTTAAATTTTGGGAGTCGTCCGGGCAGTGGAAGAGCCATTAAATCGGCTATAGACTCGATGAATTTAACAGTTTTTTCGATGTCAGCCGGTTTAAATGACTTTGGATGTGTACTCGGTTTACTTGCCAGTCCGTGTTGGCGCACTGTTACACCCTGTGCGTGAAAATGACGTACTAAATTTTCGTAACGCTTCGTCGTACAGGCAATGTACAAAAAGGAAAAACGAACGACAAACAGGTACTCTGTAGAAGGTAAATTGAATTCTATGCCTCATAACTTCTGTATCCTCTCTCTGTCCATATTTCTTCCGCCCAGCAAGCTTTGCGTATACACTTTCTAGCTTTTCGTTACTCATAATTCCAGCTTCGATGTGACTTAGTATCACTAAATCAAGTTCATTTTTCGACATCTCTAAACAATTGTTCCGCGTACTCTCGATCATTTCCCGTGGTATCAGTGTATGGCATTCATTATTACAACAATCTTTTGACAGAAATTTTGTTACCAGCTCCTCCTCCTTTACATCAACAACATACAGGTCCATCTTAACAAAAGTTTGTTTGGTATCATCTTCTGCCTGAGATACACATACTTCGTCTTCATCATCATCGCTCTCTTCATAGTTTTCATCATCGTTTTCATCATCAACAGAAACAGTAAACGTCACTTCTTCAGTGTTAATTTTTTAAATGTTCCCCACTAGCAACTTACACGATGAACTATAATAATATTCCGACCAACAACAACACTTACTGGACCAACAACAACACTTACTGGACCAACAACAACACTTACTGGACGTCCGGCGCGGAGAACAATTAACGAGGTAATGAGAAACTGACGAAACGAGTTGCTTACTTTTAACAGCTTTTTCACAGAAAACTAGTTTTCGCACGTAAGCTCCCTTTTCGTAGACCAGGTCACATATATTTAATACTTGCGCCGGGTATTTAATGTTCGGCTCCGCCCGAACTTAGACTTTCTTACTTGTTATAATTGAATTTAATATAGAACCTGACAGAAACATAATTTTTCACTTAAATTGCTTTCGTGAAACTGGTTTTTAAGGTACTTCATCTCAGTCTATGTATGTATATTGTATTTCTGTTGAACAAGGATACGCGTCCATTTTGAAATTGCAACCAGTTATAAAGTTTCTAGGGCAGATTCAGTATAGATCCGGATCATTGTTGCCGCCAGGGAACTTCTTCATGGACATAAAACCTTCGTTAGGTTATTTAAGGCGGCAAACGACCACCAAACCATAATCTTAGCCGATGAATGTGCCAATGGAAATCGTAAGCGTGGACTGTTGGAGAAAATGTTGGATCAAAATGGTTAAATTAAAAATCTAATTTTCGGCGGGACGCAGTTCGCCGGGTCTGCTAGTTTGAAATAAAAGAAAGTTTTATAATTACTTATTTATTTATTTTGATAATAAGAATTTTAAACATAAATGTCCGCAATTATATGAATTATAGCTTTTCTGTTTATTATAGTTATATTTAATGTTTTTTCCTAAATACTTTATTATTTGCTTAGGAGGCTGTAAGTTTCCAAAGCTATCGAAGTATTCAGTCTCATTATCGTTTTTCCAGTAAGCTACCCAATGCGTTCCCGGACCCGGTAAATGGTTTACGGGGTAAAGTGTCACACATGAATACCCCTCTAAAATTTGGAATAAATTTTCAATACTCCTTTAAGTCTACATCAGTACACACCTATCCTCAATCAAAAAGAAGTTAAACGAAAATGCCTAATGAAATGGTTTACCGCATCTTATTCCAGCTATTTCATAGTTTAAAAATCCGTTGCGAAGGAAATCCTACCTGATCGTTTAGCAGTTTTTTCAACAATTACTTTTTTCGATCTTAAAATATTTTTTCGGACCCAAGTAACAATATCCTTTTTAAGTAACTTTTTTCGTCTTACGTAAATTTTGTATGTACACGTAAGTCTTAGTAGTAAAACAACGGAAAAAGTGAGTTTGAGAAGTAAACACGACGAAAATCGGTCAAAATTGTGTTGTGAAAAAAAATTGTTTCTAGCAATCATCAAATTAGTAATGCCATCAGCGAGAAATATGAGAATCTTATAAAAAAAGCATGTAAATGCAAACTTTGAAGTGTCTGAACATGTCGTCGTACTTTAAAACACTTATGGAAATTAAAAAAATAATCATGAGCAGTTTGTACTTGGAGGTGAAAATAAGAAACTGGCAATGGAAAATCACTCAGCTCTCCTCCAAGAAGATGATAATGTACTTGTTATTAAAAAATGTCCAATTCCTGAATTACATGTTTTACAAGGAACGGATTAGTTCCGCCACTTACAAAAGCAACTTCTGCAAAATTCAGATGCGCTAGATGATCCAGAAATTTATTCAAATGTAGGCAAATTTTCACTTACACCTTTCATTTCAGCTTTCAAAGCTATGAACGAAGTTGTGGATTTTTGTTGTTCTATGTCACCACCCGGCCAGGATTTAGATAAATTCATCAAAGAATTGAAAAAGGCTTATGCCAGTACAAAAGTTTCTGTGACATTGAAAATTCACGTAATTTTTGAACATCTTGAGCATTCCTTGCATTTTTTGGATGGCGAGGAATTTTGATTGTGGTCGGAGCAGCCAGGTGAATCAGTTCATCGAGACTTCTTAAACGTTTGGAACCGCTACAAAATCAACGTGAAAGAAGAACCAAGAAAGATTAAGAAGAATGGTCGTAGAATACTCCTCCATGCATATTTAAAATTTACATTGTATATTAAAATATACAATATTTAGTTAAAATAAATTTTTTGGTTCAAACCAAATCGTTATTTTTATTATTCTTGTATCATTTTATTATTCTTGTATCATTTTATAGTAATTATCAGTTATTTTTCAATTCCATAACTATTTTTTCGTAATTATAAAATACATTGTTACATTAAATTTCTTCCAAAAGCCTACAGTAACCTGGCTTTCCTGCGTAGATATGCGAAAGACTTTAAGGATCCATACACCAGGAAAGCTTTAT